CCCAGATCTCTTTTGAGGTCCATTAGTGTGGTAAATGGCTCTCCATACCCTCATTTTCAATCTGGAGGTGTCTTTAAGTTCAAAATGAGTCTCTTGTAGGCAGCATATGGATGGGTCTTGTTTTGTTTATCCAATCTGATAACCTGTGTCTTTTGGTTGGAGCATTTAGCCCATTTACATTCAGAGTAACTATTGAAAGATATGAATTTAGTGCCACTGTAAAGTCCCTGTTTCTGTAGATTGTCTGTTACTTTCTGGTCTATATTACTCTTGGGGTCTCTCTTCACTTACAGAACCCCCCCTTAATATTTCTTGCAGGACTGGCTTGATGGTCACATATTGTTTCAGTAGAAACATGCCTGTTCTGGAAACTCTTTCTTTCTCTCTCCATCCATTCTGAATGACAGCCTCGCTGGATAAAGTATTGTTGGCTGCATGTTCATCTCATTTAGTACCCTGAATATGTCTTGCCAGCCTTTTCTGGCTTACCAGGTTTCTGTGGATAGGTCTGTTGTTCCTCCCTCCATATGTAAGTAACCTCCTCTCCCTAGCTATTCTCAGGATAGTTTCTTTGGCTGTAAGATTTGCAAGCTTCACTGTAATATGTCAGGGTGTTGATCAGTTTTATTGATTTTGTGAGGGGTCCTCTGCCTCTTGGACATGCATGCTTGTTTCCTTTCCCCAGATTAAGAAGTTCTCAGCTATGATTTGCTCAAATATACCTTCTACCCCTCTCTCTCTCTCACCACCCCCTCAAGGATCCCAATAATTCTGACATTGGAATGTTTCATGGCATCATTGATCTCTCTAAGTCTGTTTTCATGGGCTTCTAGCTGACTATCTCTGTGTTCCTCAACTTCCTTCCTTTCCATCAGCTTATCTTCTAGATGACTTATTCTCTCTTCTGCCTCATTGACCAGAGCTGTTAGAGTATCCAGTTTAGACTGCACCTCATTCATAGCATTTTTAAGTTCACCCTGACTAGATCTCATTTCTGCCCTTAAAGACTCTATATGATCTCTTGTGGGTTTTTAAAGCCTAGCTATTAACTTTATGATTGCCATCCTGAATTCTATCGCTGACATCTTTCTTATATTCATCTCAATTAGCTCTGTGGCAGAGAACACTGCCTCTCATTCTTTTTTGTGTGAGTTCCTCCTTCTTATAATTCTGTCCAGAGAATGATGGATGGGTGAATAAACAGAGTCCAGTATATCAACCACGACCCAAGCAAGATGCACCCTAGCAAAGTCCAGAGTGGTCGGAAGCCACCACAGAAAAAACAAAGCCAAAATGAAACAAAAGAATAAAATTTAAAAAGAAAAAAAGGGGGGGAGGGGAAGAGGGACCATAATCTTGCAGTATGGACAAAGCTCGGTGTTCCACGTGTTCCTGGATGAATTTTGATCTGTGTGTCAGAAGACACTACATCCCAAAATTTCAAGGAAAGTAAAACTTATATATATATAATGATAAAATTGAATAGAGTGAAAAAAGGACTAAAATGAGGCATATATCTATAAAAATATGTAGATGTGAAAAAAAAACAAGTTAATAAGTGACTATGAAATATAACTTGGGGGGCGCCTGGGTGGCTCAGTTGGTTAAGCGACTGCCTTCGACTCAGGTCATGATCCTGGAGTCCTGGCATCGAGTCCCGAATTGGGCTCCCTGCTCAGCAGTGAGTCTGCTTCTCCCTCGGACCCTCCCCCCTCTCATGTTCTATCTCATTCTCTCTCTCAAATAAATAAAATCTTTAAAAATATATATATATATATATAACTTGGTATAATAAGCTTCTAGTTGAAATGAGAAAAAAAGTAAAAAAGAGAGAAAAAGCATTAAAAAAAAAGAAAAAAGAAAGAAAAGAAGAATTTTATCTGAAAAACAAATGAGTCATGAGGCAGCACCTGGAGCTCAATATACTATTTCCCCTGGATTTAGAATTCTACAGTCTTGTGGCATCTATAGGCTTGTCATCCACTTGTTCTTCCAGACTGTCTGCTAGGGGAGGGGCCTGCTGCACTGTTTCTCAGGTAACCCTGCCTGGGTGGAGTTGCCCCACCCGCTGTCAGGGGAATGGGCTCAGGGGAAACCAGTCTTCTGTGTGGCTTTTGTTCCCTGGAGGCTTTCCTCACCTTTTCAGAGGATCAGAGCCAAAATGGCTGTGCCCAAAACCCTGGCCCAGAGCAGAAAATTCACAGTCTGCCCTTTAATAAACCCTCCAGGATAAACAGTCTACATTTCTGTTTGCTCCCCCCAAAACCACAACCTCCCGTGGTGCTCGCTCACAGCAACTCTCTCAGAGCTTGTCCCAGGGGCATGGGAGTGTCACTGCCCTTTGTGCCTCTAAAACCGAGAGTGGCCTCGGGCTCGTGCACACCTGAAGCTCCTGAATCACCTGAAGTGCTGCTCTAATGTCTTTTCCGGGCCACTACTGCCCTGCGAGCTACTGCCTTGGTGGTGGCCCAGGTTCCAGTCTTTTTCAGGCTGCTCAAGAAAAGAGCGATTACCAACCAGCCCAGCTCATGGTTTGTGGGGATCCTAGCTGAGAGTCCCCTCCTGCTTCCTGGCTCCACTGCTCAGGCACTTTAGCGGTTCAGGCACCCCTGCTTGCTCTGTCACTCCTCGGATCCTGAGACCTACCTAGAATTCTGCATTTTCAGCTCCAGAGCCCCTTTCATAGAGGGACGTCTCTCACTAAAGCAGATTTCTAAGAGTTCTGATTTTGTGCTCTGCTGTTATATCACTTTCCAGGAGCCAGCTTATGGTGGCTCCCTCCTCCTTCTGTTCGTCTTCTGATATTTCTTCATGACTCCACACATCCTACCTTGCAAGAAGCAGTTGCTTTTCTGCTTGTAGAGATCCAGATATATATTCTTACATCTCAGGCTGATTCTGTGTTCAAAAGGGTTTGATAGCTATCCAGCTAAATTCAGGGGACCAGTTGAAATGGGGCCTCTACTTCTCTGCCATCTTGCCTTCCTCAAGAAACTGTTTGACTTCTTTTACCCATTTTGCTCACCCCTCCCACCTCTGGCAACTACCAGTCTGTTCTGCCTATAAGCTTTTTTGCTTGCTTGTTTTAGATTCCACATGTAAGTGAGATCATATGATATTTGCCTTTGTCTGACTTATTTCACTTAGCATTATGCCTTCAAGGTCCATACATATTTTTGCAAAAGGAAAGATTTCATTTGTTTTTGTGGCTGAATAATACTCCACTGTGTATATATCCCACATTTTCTTTATCCATTCATCTATTGATGGGCACTTGGGTTGGTTCCATATCTTGGAATCTATAAATAATGATGCAGTGAATATGGGGAGGTAGATATCTTTACAAGTTAGTGTTTTCATTTTCTTTGGATAAATACCCAGAAGTGGAATTTCTGCATCATGTGGTAGTTCTATTTTTTAATTGTTTATACCATTTCACTTGTCAATTTGCATTTCAGTGTTAAGTGCTGAGGCTGAACCCTTTGTCATATATCTAACAGATACCAGTACTTTTTCTTTTGGGAAGGGTATGTTCATATATTTTGTCCATCTTTTCATTGGGTTATCTTTTGTTTTCTTCATTTATGGGAGTATTTTATGTATTCTGATACAAATCTTTTGTCAATTATGTGTGAAAATATCTTCCCCCAAAGGGTGTCTTGTCTTTTCATTTTGTTTATGGTGTCCTTTCATGCACAAAAGTTTCCAATTTTAATGTAATCAAATATATCAGAATCTTTCATTTTATAGTTTTGGCACGGGGGGTTTTGCTTAATACGTTCTTTCCTGTACTAAAGTCATAAAGAAATTCTTTTGTATTTTCTTCAAAATTCTTAAGTTTTGCTGTATACCTTTAGATATTCAATCAATCTGGAAATAATTTAATTTAGTGTGTACTATAAAGAAGAGGTCTCTGTGTGTGTATGGGGGGATATTTTTCCATATAGCCAATTATTGTAGAGTCATTTATCAAGTAGCTCAGGCATTTCCCACTGATTGGTAAAACTACTACTGTCTTAAATCAAATTCCCAAATCTGAATTCTAGTCTGTTCCACTAATCCTTCCATGTGTCACACCACACCACCTTAACTGTGATGGTTTTCTAGTTAGTCTTGGTATGCAGGAGAGGGACTCTCCTATCTGATTCTTTTTCAGAATTGTCTAAGCTATTCTTAGTCTGTTTCTTTTACATAAATTTCAGAATCAGCCTGTCAAGTTCAACAAAGAGCCCAGTAGAGGTTGTAATTTGAATTGCATTAGAAGAGATTACTTTGAAAAAGGCTGACAGTGTTACACCATTGAGTCTTCCTATCCTTGAACATGGTTTCTTCTTTCTCTTTAAGTACTTTCAAAAGCCTTGCAATGAAATTTTATACTCTTTTTCATAATCCCACATCTTTTGTTAGTTTTAATACTAGGCACCTTATATTTTTTATTACTACAGTTTATGTTAATTACATTTTCTGTTTAAATCCTCACAGTGCTATAAGTTAGATATTTTCATGACTGTTTCACAACTAAGCAAACTAAGTCTCGGAAAGAATAAGTAACCTGCTACATGTCCTTGGTAGTAAGTGATCAGAGGTAAGATACAAAATCAATACAGTCGGACCCCAAATCCAGTGCTTTTTTTTTTTTTTAAGATTTTATTTATTTATTTGACAAGGAGAGACACAGCGAGAGAGGGAACACAAGCAGGGGGAGTGGGAGAGGGAGAAGCAGGCTTCCCGCCGAGCAGGGAGCCCGGTGCGGGGCTCAATTCCAGGACCCTGGGATCATGACCTGAGTGGAACGCGGACGCTTAACAGACTGAGCCACCCAGATGCCCCTCCCCAAATCCAGTGCCCTTAACCTCCACTTCATACCCTGTCTGGTGATGTGTGTCTTCATACCTGTTTCGTGATGGGACAGCATTTTTTTTTTTTTATCGAAACAACATGAGGATGTTTACAGTCACAGGTAGGAATAATAAGAATAAGTATGTCATCAAAAGCAGTGGTTTTCAAATTTTAATGTCAATACAAATAACCCGGAGATCCTGTTATCCAGTCGGTCTAAAGTGGAGTCTGAGATTCTGCTTTTCCAATGAACTCTTTCATTTAGGTATTCACAAATATCTTTCAAACAAAGGTTTTACATTTTTTTCATAATTGCATGTCCTTTGTTAAATTTAATGCTAGGCACCTTACATTTTTATTATTACTGCTCATGTTATCAACCTTTCTGTTTCAACCCTCACAGTGCTATTAGTTAGATATTTTATCACTGAGGAAACAAGGCTTAGAAAGATTAAGTAACTGGTCAAATGCTATAGGTAGTAAATGTTGGGTAACGCCAATAGGAACACTTTTAGAAACACACTTTTTTCTAGTGGTTTTAATTAATAATGATGAAAGGTGAGAACTCCACCAGATGGCAGCAGAAGCTCATCATTTTATGTCGAGTGGCTCTCCATTTAGCTCTGGATGAAGCATCTGACGCTGGCAGATGCCTGGCTTGTTAGATTGTCTCAGGGAAATGAATCAGGCTCCCCTCACTCCCGAGGCTCCATGACGTACGACCTGCTGTAGCGTTTCAGTGTTGACAATGAGTGTTGTCAAGAGCATCCAGCTGGGACCGGGTGTCATGCCCACAGGCTTCTCCCAAAAAGCCTTTTTCAAGAGGCTTGTAAATGAGAATGAAAAATTGTTTTCCATCAGTTGCTTTTTCATCACCGTGAGTTCGGTTTGGGCACTCAACCAAGAATGGGAGGCATGGTTTGAGATGTCTGGCAGGATATGAGAGGAAATGATTCATTCGCTGTGGGGGAAGGGAAAACTATTCAGGCAGATAAACCTGCATCAGAGTCCAAAGATTCCAGGAAAACCCAAGGAGTGTGCTCATGGACCATGAGCCTCCTGTCAGACCATTAGCCACAGGCGCCGCAAGCCCCGAGGGGCCATCCCTCTTACTCAGTTCTCTTTTGTCTTCTGAGCCTGAAAATAAAATTTTTTTCACCATAAAAAGGAATCCATCATCTCCTAATGTTCCCACTGTGAGCTTGGTGAGGTGAAAACACCTCAGCCTCATTAAGAAGGATCACAGACTCTTGATTTTCGTTTAAAAAAACCCTCCTGAGCGTAAGCCTGTGCATTGGGGAGGCCCAAGCGGGGGCGTCCCGCGTACTTGGAGCAGGCCGAAGTGTTCGGTGTCATTTGGCAGTCCCTGGGAAGGTCCCACCTCCTCATCTCTCCTTATTCTGCAATCGCCGGCTCTCCTATTGATGGAGACAGCCGGCCTCATCATCCAGCGCACTCTCAGAGGGCCTCACCACAGGGGCAGATGGGTGTTGTGGAAAATGAGACAGAAAAGGGTAGTTAGAGGCTGTGCCGGGGTGACCCTGGCACCGATGGCAGGCTTGACCTGCTGCACTCTTCAGGACTCCAGACAGGCAGGGCAGGGAGCCCGGGAGGGCTGGCCGAAGGACCGTGGTCATGAGGAGACAACCAGATTACCCATGGCCCTATTATTTAAGGGTTGCTGCCTCCAGAATTTGCTGGGAAAGAGGACAGGGAACCTGGTCCATGCCACTGAGGCCAGGCTCACTCCCCAAAGTCACATGTCTACAAAGGGTGGAGCTGGGCTACAAACCCAAGACTGAGGTCCAGGCTCCACTGTGTGGGCGTTCAGACACGGGCCTGCAGTATTCATTAGATGTTTACTGGATTAATGTATTCAGGAGAGAAGTTGCACTTGGCAAAAAAGCAAACAAGCAAAAATATAAAAGAAAATACCAGAAACGAGAAATCAATCACCTATAGATAGGTTGATGGCAAAGAGAGTAAGGAAGTCTTTGGCCATTGGGTCTGGAGCCCAGAGCCCCCATGGCTCTTTGCTCTGGGTCTGAGGATTCTCCTTCCGTCCCCAGAGGGCGTGGTGTGCAGACTACTAGACCTCTCAGCTGTACTCCCCTTCTCTGTCTTGACCACACGTTTCCCTGTGGCTCCCTGCTTTTTTCCTTTGCTGTATCAAGGCCAGAGCCTGAGTCATAGGCTTACACTGTGATAAGTTGCTACTGTGAATCATTTCATAAAACAAAGGCACCTTTTGTAAAAAGTAAAAAATTCTTCCGAGGTAATTCTCCAGTGCTTCTCAGCTATTGGTCACAGACTCCCCCAAGGATGTGGTAAAAGCTGCAGACCCTCTACCCTATAAAAGAGCACGCACACACATGCACACACGTACACACACACCAGGGCACACAATTTCAGGGAGGTTCATGTATCCCCGAATCCTATCCGGAAACCCCAAGCTGAGAACCTACACCCTAGATGGCCATTATTTGGGTTTATTTATGTGGAGACACACAAAATCCCATTGGTGCCATTTAGTAAGGGATAAGCTAAGATAGAAAGGGGTAGAACTTGGAAGTTCTTCATCTTAAATTTGTACCTTTTGCATCTTTAGGCAGACCAAAGATAGTGCTTTTAAAACTCTGGAAAAAGTATTTTAGTGGGAAAAATGTAAAGATGTTATGATAGTTTTAAGTGGTCACATCTGGTAGACAAGGAGGGCAAAGGATCTGGAGAACATGTCAGCACAGTAGGACAAGGCCCTGACCTCTGCCCCACGCAGGGCAAGGCTCTGCCCCCTGCACAGCACCGGGCTCTCTTGGGGTGGTAGCTGCTGCGTGTGTGGAGTTGGGGATCCTAGCCTGGAACATAAGACAGCACAGAGAAGACTTTAGTTCCATCACACAGTCCTACTAGGGCCACTCCAGTGCCTACTTCTAGAAAGGAGAGCAGATTGCCAGGCCAGAGGTCCAGGTTGAGCATTTCAGGATGCTAGAGCCAGCTCTTGGGGAAATCGGAGCTGTGGGCTTTGTCGGGGCGCACAGGTGGTATAACGGGGCTTTGCAGGCAGGCAGCCAGACTGACCAACCGTCCTGGTTTGCCTGGTACTGTCCTCAAAGTCTTGCATCTCAGGAAACCCCTCAGTCCTGGGAAAACCGGTTGGTCACCCTACTGGGGGTCTCAGATAGTGACCGTGGGTGGGATGCTTCATCTCTCTGAGCCTCACTTCGCACATCTGCAGAACAAGGCTAGTCCCCCACGTTCGAGGGGTTCGTGATGGCACCGGAATGACGCAGGTCATTGCCCTGTATTTGGCAGGCAGGCAGGAGCACTGCTGTCTTTTCTTGCTGCCTGGAAGGCCAGGCTTTCAGGGTGCCTCGGGGCGGCTCAGATGCAGGCACTTCCTCCTCCACGGCCCCAGGGGCCTCCAGGCAAGGTGTGAGGCCCCATCAGGAGCCAGGAGGACTGCACGGGTGAAGATGTGCGGGACACACAGTAGCGTCAGCCCCCATCCTGAGTCCTTTTTAATGGCTATGTAGGTTAGGCTAGATTCAGCCGCCCATGTGAGAAAACACAAAATTAGAGTAGTTTAAGCAAGATGGAAGTTGTTTCTTTCTCGCTTAAAAAGGCCTGGGAGGGCAGGGTCAGAGCCATCCTGGGCCCCGCATCCTCACTACCCCTTCCTCCCCGCCCAGGACTGGCTTCCTGCCTGGTGGTTGCTTCCTGGCCCAGAAGGCAGCTGGAGCGCCAATCAGTACAGATCATTTAAGGGCATAAGAAAGAGGAAAGGGAAAAGGGCAGAAAAGATACCTGCTGACTGAGTCGGTTCCATTTAAGCCATCTTCCAGGAATGTCCAGGCCGCCCTTGGATTTGCATCTCACTGGCCAGAGCTTAATTACACCGGTCGCTACTAGTTACAAAAGAACCTGGGAAACAGACACTTCTCGGGGCACGTTGCAGCCTCACATAAAGTAAGATTCAGACGCTAAGAAAGAAAAGGAGAATGCAACCTAGAAAATGCACCAAATGGAGAGGCCACATAGTAAGGGCTTCTGTCCTGGGTTTCACTGATGGCTGGTTGATCAGAGTCACGGTACCGGCGGGTCTCTCTGTCCCCCAGTTCTGGTGACCAGACCAAATTTAGGCACCCCTCAGTGACCAATAAAAGAAGGAATGAAGGGCAGCATTACACTAATATTGGAGGGGGTTCGGTTCAATTGCTCGTTACTAGCTCAGATTTCCAAAGGATGTTCTCGGGATTTTTAAAAACCACAGTAAACTTTCCACTTTTCTGTGGGTTTAAGGATTGTTATATTCTCTTAAGATTCTATTTATAACTTCCTGGTTGTTCCTCAATTGAGTTATGAAATTAAATTCTGAAAGCAGCCAGGAACTCTGAAGAACAAAGTCTATTTCTTTTCCAACATTTATTGATCATGACTCACAGAAGACATACATAATGACCAATGAACATTTAGCTCATGACTTAGAACTGGTCATATAGTGGTAGCTGATTGTTGAGGAAAAAAATTAATCTTATGGGATAATTTCTAGCTTGTCACAGAAGGAATAAGTCATTTCAGCTTAGTTGCTACTTGCAAACTGGAGCTAGGATTTCTCAGCTAACATTACTAAAGACGTCAGATGGAAACAATGCACATAGTACTGAACCTAATGCCCAATATATTCTCCTAATTCTTTTTCTCTTCTTTTTTTTATTAGTTTCAGGGGTAGAATTTAGTGATTCATCGGTCTTATATAACACCCAGTGCTCATCACATCAAGTGCCCTCCTTAATGCCCATCATCCAGGTACCCCATCCATCCACCCACCTCCCCTCCAGCAACCCTCAGTTTGTTTCCTAGAGTTAAGAGTCTCTCATAGTTTGCCTCCCTCTCTGTTTTCTCCTGACTCTTTGTCTATGGACACATGATTCTCTTTAACATTTAGGTTTAATCTCAGAAGTACAGGCAATAAACCAAATCACCCTTTCAGCTAAAAATAGCAATGAGAAGTAAGTGCTAGAGTTGGCTGCACAAATTTGACAGCTCTGACCCGTGATGGAAACACCATTAGATATATGAGTCTGACTGGCCAGAAGGAGAGTAAGAAACATGAAGTGCCCTGAAGAGCACCTGCCTATTTAGGGAAAACATTGAAAACGAAGGAAACCAGGGGGTATATTAGTTTTTAAACTGAAAAATAAGAATGGGCAGGCCCTTTTCTCAAGAGAGAAAAGCAAGATTTGAAATGTACAAGCAGTTGCCATGTGCAGACTCATCCTTTGTGGAACCTTCTAGAAGGAGATGATACATTGCCAGCAGCAACTGTAGCAGCTAGATTATATTAGCCCTGATGGAAAAAGAGCTCTTAGTGCAGACTGCTTTCTGAATTCAAAGCAGTCAGTCAGTCACGTCTAATTGTGTCTCTTAGTGAAATGCCTCTTTAATGAGGAATGTAAATCAGTTTTCCTCCACAAATAGATTGTATCTCTGGTATATCATAAATTGCGTCAGACCCAACGTAGCTCAATAATTTTTATAACCTGATGCTCTTCTTCCGTGATTGTGTCTTAGTGACAGACAGTTCACAGAATCTTACACGCAGTAATGACATTTGTTTTCATTAGTTTCAAAACAAGCAGTGAAGGGAATATTAACATTAATGGACACTGCTAAATTCATAGTATAGCACGTGGGGTTGAGCATGGGACCCTTGAGTTAATCCTCTCACAACTCAATAATAATAATAGCCACTGTCAAGGGAGTGCCCACTGTGAGCCAGACACTTTACTAATAGCTTTACATATGTATTCTCACTAAATTCTCCCAACAACACACCGAGGGAGTGCTGACATCCCCATTTTTCAGAATAGGAAAGTATGGCTCAAGGTCTTACTGACATCAAGTGATAGTGTCATTATTTAAAACTGTGTCTGTCTGAATCCAGATCCATGCTATTTTCTCCTACATTTGGTTGCCTCATGAAGATTCAAATTCCTTTCTCCTCTGACATCATTTTAATGTACCTTCTTGGAAGAAAAGGAAAGAAATGTTAGGACTTTTTTTTTTAAGATCACATTAATTTTGTTAATTCTTCAGTGAAATGTAAGCCATATTATTTCAGGCAGATCTAAGTAACGCCCACAGCTTTCTGCACATTTTCCTAGGTTATCATTGGGCCTTTTATCCATGTGCTGTACTGGGGCTCCCCACAAATTTTTATAGGCGTAATGAGAAAATAACCAGAACCGATCCAAGGGAAGAAGGTTCTGATACTCACACTGTGTGTGGGATTTCTAGGCACACCTTTCTTTGGGAAAGAGGCAACTATTCTGAGATGGTAGAGCATTTCAACCCGCTGACTAAACATATGGCATTGAACAAGTTTAGAAGAGTGGGAAAATAGAGTGTGATTCCAATCTCATAAACAAACACGTACATGTGTCTAGTTTGTTTCATTATATATGCACATAATGATCTGGGAAAAAAACTATCAGAATTATAGCACTAGAGCACTGAATGTAGGATCCCAAATGATTTTTCTTTTTTCACTCTGGTGTTTTCAAAATTACCTAAAATAAATGGATATTGCTAATATAATACTCCCCGGAAGTGATAGTTTCATTTTTTAATTTTTTTAAAAAGTTTTCAATTACTTGAGAGAGAGCATGAGCAGGGGAGAGGCAGAGGGAGAGGGAGAGAATCTCCAGCAAATTCCAATGAGCGCAAAGCCGGATGCAGGGCTCGATCCCAGGACCCCAAGACCATGACCTGAGCCAGAACCAAGAATCCGGCGCTTTACGGACTGAGACACCCAGGCGCCCCCCCCAAAAGTAATAATGTTAATGGGCAGGAGAATTCTCGAATCGTGCAATTAGTGGCTGGAGGCACAGCCATATAGCATGAGGCCTCTTAGTATTGCATCCATTTGTTGTTTATCAATGTTATTAATAATAAAATAATCTTTGATATCTCGCTGCCAAATTTTCATTAGCTGGAAAGATAAACTAGTCTCAAAAAATGGCAAAGCTGAAAGGTTTTTCATGGACTTAATCATTATGAACCAGAATCATTTAGTAAGCAACTATGCTCATCCCTTTGTATGGCTTTGTGTTTGTATTCCCTTTGCGCAAGGATTGTTTCTGGAGATAAGAAATAATGGCATCATTTTGGTTATCTATTTCCATGGCAACACATGGATTCAGGGAAGAGTTCTTAGTATCTTTGCTATTTGTCATGGGCACATGTCCTTCTAAGTGAGGGCTATTCTCTGTGAGACTGTCTTGTAAATATTTGAAGCTGAAGTGAGATACAGTTTTGATTCTCAGAACTCATATTAATAACTAATTCTGTGAGCAGCAATAAAGAGTACCAGTACTCTGAAAACATCTCATTTTTCCATGACAATTCTCTCTTAAAAGGTCACAAAACAAAATTCTTTTTAGGATTACTGGTTAGTGTAGAGTGTAACAATGATGGTTTTCCAGCTAAGGTTCAGCAGGTGTGCTGGCTCACTTGCACACACATGCACACACGGAAAGTGGAATATGAATTTTCTCTAATATTTACTCAAATACAATATTGCCCAGGATTCTTGAAATTTTGTCTAGTATTCTCTCCTTGTAATATTTTCCTGGTAAATCCTTAAAAATGGCAACAAAATTGTATAGCAAGCTAGAAGTCAGCATTCTGATTACATTTTACCACGATCTCTGTGATCTTGGGCAATTTCCCTAACCTCTCTGTGCTTCCAATTTCTCATCAGTAAAATCATCTAAGCTAATAAAAGGAAGGAAAAGTAGTCTGAGAAAAAAGTGAAAAACTGAAAAGAGAAAATTAGGATTGTCTCTCTCCCCCTCTTTTTTTTTTTTAAGATTTTATTTACTTATTTGACAGAGAGAGACATAGCGAAAGAGCGAACACAAGCAGGGGGAGTGGGAGAGGGAGAAGCAGGCCTCCGGCGGACCAGGGAGCCCGATGCAGGGCTCGATCCCAGGACCCTGGGATCACCACCCGAGCTGAAGGAAGACACCTAACACTGAGCCACCCAGGCGCCCCCTCTCTCCCCTTCTAGTACAACCTCTGCTCTTTTTTTCTACATAAATGAAGGGTCATGTCATAGAAGGAGAGAAAGAATGAAAGAGATCACTTTCATTTTGGCCAAACACGCATATGAACTACTAAAGAATTTTCAGGTTACTATTTACTTGAGGTTCAAGCAATGTATTCCCAGCCAAAAAAAAAAAAAAATCCATGCAGTTGTGGGAGGTAGAAGCTGGCTTATCTAATGTCCATTAAATTTATACCCATGACATTCAGGGATGTAGTTTTAGATTTTCAGAATAAAGAACATCCCTCTCTATTCCTTTTTAACTCTCCCTAGAACTTTTTTTAAGAAGAAAAGGAGATTATTAAAGGACACCAGTGAGCTCCTAGACCTTCCAAGATGGCTAGTGTCTGAAGAAGAATACCTACTCACATTGTAAGTGTTTCTCTGGGACTACAAAGTGGTGGGGAAAATAAGAGACAGAAATTGGATTCTGCTGATTCTGCAATCTGGTCCCTGCTTGTAATCTGGGAAATCCAGGAAAAACACTTAGTTAGCAGCCTTGGCCTTGAGGAGGTCCCTCTAATCTGCAGGTGAGCCAAGAAGAAGCAACTGAACCAATCAAAACTCATCTGTCCTTTGGCCCTATATTAAAACCAGACCTTTAGGGCAAGCTGATTACAATCTTTTCCTAGGGCCTTCACATGTTACTAAATGTCCCAAGGTTTCCTAGCTGTTAAGTCTCTAAACCAGGATTCTAGCCCAGAGTCTAGGGCCTAGACGGCCCAAGTGTGATTTGGAGACGAGCCGTGTTAGCATCACCAGACCTTCTTACTTCACATCTCTTAGCTCACGCTTCTCGACAGGTAGGATGCGCATAACACCTGCTGCACCTCCTTCAGAGGCTGGTTGTGAAAGTCTGGGACAGCGTTTTTA